TCGACAAGAATTTTTGACAACGATATAAACAGCTTTTAATTGACCAAGGTTCCACGAAAAATCAGTTAAAATGAATCGTGTGACGTAAACTTAGTAAGGAATAGTATGATGTCAGCCGTATGCCGGCTCGAACTGAAATACAAGACGACAATAAAAGCTAACGTAACTAACGTATCGAAGATAAAATAATACAAATGAAGGAACTATCGCTAACATTGCAATAACGACCTTAACATGGAAGTGGCAAATCGGCACTTATATTGATCGATTAATAACCTTCACGGCGATTAACTCGGATGATAGTTTTATGAGAAATAACCTTATATTTGAGATATGGACCTAATCAAGCGCGATTCAGAGTATACAAAATACAAAAAAAAAACAAACAAACAAAACAAAATAAACAAACAAACAAAAAAATTAAATAATAATAAGTGATAAAGTAAGACTCAACTGAAAAGAATAACAATTAAAAAAGCCTGAGAACTTAGCCTGGAAAACAAGGAATCGATTACTTATTTGGTTTGCCCACGTACTGAATTTGACTTGATAGAATAGATGAGTAGCAGTGTGGAGAGAAACTATGGCCCAATCCGGAGTAGAAGTTGGCGCAGTAGAATCTACACCTGAAATGAATTACCGAGTAAAACCCCGTAAATATATCTAATCAAATAACACGCAAGCTAAGCCAGCGATAATAACTATTTCCTGACGGAAATAGCAGCCGAGGGCTGGTAAACTTCGGCAGATTAAACAGTTACTTGATAACATCAATGGTATAGTAAGTTCCTGCGGCAAGAACTGAGTTAATATCACGTTAAAAAACCGGCAGATCGTCCGGTCGAAAGAAAAAAGGTTAGCTCGCCTTGTCTGTTTTGCCCTTCCCCACCAGCCTTAAGTTGTCGGTCCAAAATGCATATATAACATCCTGATACCTCAGAAATTTGCCTCACCCGTTATCATGGAGATTTCGTTCATTTCGCACCATCTTCTCTTTTTTTCTCAAAAAACCTGTTAGCAGCTCAATTTGCATCGCAATTGAAATCTGTACCTTATAACTCAATTTTACAGAAAATTAATACAAAATAAATTGCATTAGCTTGCCTTTGGTGCTGAAATAATCCAAGGTCTTCAGTTAGGGAAGCTAAGCGCACGTCACTATAATTTCGTTGTGTTTTCTTTCAGACTGGATGATCGTGTACATTATAGCTGATTCCTCAGTTTTCGTGCCTAGAATCGGCGGGATAATATGGGCTGTGTTTATCTGCGTGAAACGATGAGAGAATGATTAACCCTGTGCTCTAAAGGCCTGAAAAAACGTCATTTTCTGGATAACGTTCTCTAATATCAAAGCCCGGCTGTTCGACAATAACTTAAGGTTGAGAAAGGGACTTTCATTTCTTTAAAAATAACATATTACACCTGAGGGTGAAGCACTCATACTGTATTTAGAGATTTAGGTCTCGATACTGTTTTGTTCGCTGTGTGCTTACTTGCACTGTAGTAGCTGAGAAGATAAGATTATATCAAAGTTATAATTAAAGTCTCCGGCGGGTTAATAAAACAAAGTTTAGCCGTTGTTTTAACAAAACAGCGTTCTAAACTATCTTGAATATAGCTGAATCTTTTTTCTGAACATATGTTTTTGTGAACAGCGTCAAGAGGGCTGAAAGCTAACCCTCTTTTAAATGATACCTCAAGCCCACTGCTTGCGTAAAACAGCGGTTTGGATTACACCTCGTGTTGATAACCGGCTCTCTGTTTTTGATTTCTTATTGGCTCAGAAAGTGAGCAACAGTCAATAGCATTCCAATCAGTCATTTTTAATAAAAATTAAGTATTCGAAACTTGACGAGGATTTCTCTACCCGCCATGTGTGAGCACATTGATAAAAAAATTTTTGCATATTCAGGGAATTAAATTCCATTAGAAAGAGCTTCACTGCCATTTTTATCTTTGGCTTCTGCCATCGTTCTCAACTTTCTCATTTTGTACAATTAAATT